TCCCATCGTGGTAATTGAGTTAACTGAATACAAGTGTCAGAGTGTGTAACTGTGGCAGTGTAGCAAAAAGTAAACCACGTTTCACCCGCGTCGCGAATTGATCTCAAAATATTCGGAGCGCAACGTATACCTGGTCCTTCCAATGGGTATATATATATTATCCAATGGAATCGTAGATGTTCCATCATGGACCCTGTAAGATCCATGACGATCGTCGACCTCTCGTCCGATCCTCAGTGATCGGAGGTGGTTCGCGAGAACCGACGGCTTCAGCAAGAGCTCAGTGCCTTGGATGACGAAGGCTTTTGGGAGGACGGGGAACCGGTGGAGAGATCAAGGATGAATTCGAAGGGGGAGAATCATGCAAATCAACGGCTTGTGTCCTGTGTTGAGCATCACATACTTCTAGTTGCGTCATGTTTTGTCGAACAGCATCCCTGAGCGTGACCATTTCTTTTTTTGCCCACCGGATTTGCGTGTATGTGCTTGTTGGCTTGATGTTTGAGGTCCAAAGCATTGGGGGGGGATGCTTCTCTTTTCGCTCGCATCGGTTTTGTTCCAACTGGATCTTTGCCACACGGCCGTGGGCCATACCCGGCCATCCTCCTCTCTGTGCTGTTTGCACAGGAGATTCAGCAGCTCCAGAAGCGTAACGAGCAGGTGGGGCACGGTGGCGGTGGGTGCAGCAAATTCACAAAACCGTTGGATTTCGGGAATCATCGGTTGGATTGGCGAACTGTTGTGGTCTTCTGTGAAAAGGACCACGTGCTGCGTCCTTGTTTGGCTTAAAAAGGAGGGTGACATACGTGTGCATGTCTTTCTAACGAGCTTAAGTCGAACGTTTGGGCGATGGATGAGATCGGAGTGCGGGTCACTTCACCTTCAGGCTGGCCCTCATGGGCCTTGCCTGTCAAAGATGTCACGCCCAGGTTTTTCAGTCAGTGAACATTCAACAAACTGCTCGGACTTCACAGGAGCATCCACCGAAGCTAGGCTATGGGGCTTTGTGACTTGAAGGGGTCTTAGAGTGTTCCATAGGAAGCAGTTTCTTGGAGTCAAAAGGTGGCAGTATAGCATTGTATAGTAGAGTAGTATTGAACTTACTGCCGCCCAGCCTAGCAGTAGAAACTCCTTCACTCTTCGGCTTGTCTGCCCTGTTCTTCGAGGCAGCGAGCCTGGCGCGCGAGAGCAAGGAGGTACTGGGAAGTTGGGAAGCGACCATCTGCAGTGTTTGGAGCCGATTCGAACCAAGAGAGGTTAAGTGACCTTATAGGACCTTACTGCGGTACCTATGGGAAAGGCATGGATAGGCTATAGGGTCCTTC